CCATTTCATTCCCAGAGGAAAAAAAAAAGGGGGGGAGGGCATATTTTGTTAGTTTTCTAAACAATGCCTGCTAACCAGGGCTGAGTAAACACCATGGGGTGGGGGGGAGAAAAACCAGTGCTTACAGTATCAGAGGAATTCTATGTACCAGCTGGAACATTCTCTACTGTTGGAACCACTTTCAAATGAGAAAGTGAATACACAAGGTGAGGAGGGGGAAATCTGTATAAACTGCTACAATAGAAAAAAAACAGAATAAACAACAACAACAACAAAGAAGCAGCTGCCTCCAGGGAGAGGACTAGAAACTCAGACAGACACCTCCCAGCTGAGCTCCCTACTTGCTTAAAATAATCCCTGTAATTTTTGTTTAAACTTCTTAAGAGATAAAAATTTTACCACACTATTTAAAAGCAATGACTGTGACCAAGAGAGACTATGTGAACAAAGACTGCATGAGCTCAGTGTGCAGTGAGGCAGGGCTGTAGGAAGGCTTTGCTTTCCTTCGTCTTTTACTAGTTCTTTGAGAATTTCTATAATGTGTTTTGATCATTTCACCCCAACTCCTACCAGATCCACCCCTTCCTTACCCATTCAATTCTGTTTCCTCTTTGTTTTTGCTTTAAACCCATCCAAGTCCAACTTGTGATGCACATATATTCTTAGACGTGTGGAAAATGCCTTAGCGTATGGCAAACGACTACACTTAAGGAAAAACTGATTCTCACCTCTTCCAGCAGCTATCAATTGCCAACTGCTCTGTAGCCAGGAGTGGAACTTCATGCCCACCTCCCCTTTCCATGCTGGAATTTGGTCTAGCTTAGACTTGCATGGGTCTTGTGCATGCTGGCATGAATGCTGGGTTCCTGTGTGCAGCTGCCCTGCTGTGTCTGGAGGACACTGCTCTCTCATCGTCACCCACCACCTGCGGCTCCTCAGTCTTTCCACCCCCTTTCTCTTTAATGATCCTTGAGCCTTAGGAGAAGGGATGTGATACAGGGGTCCCCCTAGGGTTGAGTACTCCACTGTCTCTGATTTTCTGCATCTTAACCAGTTGTGAGTTTGTGTTAACTACCATCTACTCTAAGAAGCAGCTTCCCTGATGAGGGTTGAGCAATGTTCTACTCTACAGGTATAACAATAAGTATTAGGAGTTGGTTTAATACTGTCTATTTAGCAAAATCACTTAGTAGGTTCTTACCTGGGGCATATGACCTGTCTAGCCACAGGTTCTTGGCCCCATAATAGTTCCAGGTATTGGTTTCATCTTGCGGAGCAAGCCTTAAGTCCAGTTAGAAAATGACTGGAATCTACCACAACATTCATGCCACTAGTGCGCCTGTGGTCATGTGTTGCCAGGCAAATCACTGAGTTCACAGGGTTCTTAGTTGAGTAGGACTGAAGATTACTTTTCTCCTCTGACGGCATGCATAGCTGGAAGGGTATACCAGCACTATGGAAGCTGGCCAGTAGGAATGAAGCTTCCAGATGACTATCAGTTTGGTTTCTCCATGTCCTATGATCCAAGTATGTGGTATCTTCAGCAACAGGGTCTTAACATCAAGTTTTGAAGAGTAACCAATAGCACTGGCAATAGCCTATAGTGTTTGAGGGTCTAAGGAATCTCACTGGCCAACAACTCTAAAAGAGGTTAACTAATTCCTGGAACTGAACTTTTATTTGTTAGTCTGAGGTATCAAGTGGGTCACTGGTATGCAGTTACAGGGTAACCCTATCTTAACTTTTTATATAAGTGTATTATGTATATATGTGTGTGTAATATATGTATAGATACATGTGTATACACACACGTATGGAAGCTTCTATAGTAGGTTTCCATAAGACTTTATTTATCCCTCCCTGTATTCCCTTTCCCTGCCCTCCCAATCCTCATCCCAATTTAACTCTTCCTGTTTCATAGCTTTTGTAGATTATTTTCTTTGAGACCAGGTCTATGTAATCCTGAGGGGCCTGGAAATCACTGTGTAGACCAGACTGGCCTTGAAAGCACAGAGATCTATCTGCCTCTGCCTCATGAATACTGGGATTAGAGATGTGCACCACTACACCTAACCATGACACTCTTGTGCAACAGACAAAACCCATGCTAATGACACAGCAACAGACTTGCAAGCGGTGCTGACAGTCAGCCAGAGCAGCTTCCTAGAGAACATCCTTCATCTGATCCTTCAAGATTTGGTAACTCCCTACCAGCTACCAAACAGAGGCTATACTGCTCTGTTTTATTTTCCGAAACAGGCAGTTGTGAGCTGTCTGATGTGGGCACTGGGAACTGAACGCAGGTCCTCTGGAAGATTACCAAGTGTCCAAAATACTGAGGCAACTCTTCAGCTCCTATACAGATATTTTTAAAAGAGCTAAACCACGGTCACTGGCTTCTGCTTTCCTGCTCTTCTGAAAGGTGTGAAGATTTTCAGCTTGCCATCAGAAGCCAGAGCTAACACTCCCAAGGATCGCACAGTCCAGCATTCTCCCTCAGCTGAGAAAACGCAGGTCTGGGAAGGGAAGGAGACTTGTTGAAGGTTATGTAAGAAGCAGAGGCCTCAGAATCCCTGGTCCTCAACTCCTTGCATGTCACGTGCTGTTCTTAGTAATAGCTGTTGGAAGCTGGCAGGAGGGGACAGGACAGGAAGAGAAAGGTACCAAGACTGGTGCCAAGTCACTGAAGCACCTTCGGATAGCTTACTGATCCTTCACAACACTTTTACAAGGTATTCAGGCTTCTTCTTAATATTTACAAATAAGGAACCCAAAGCTCTGAGAAGATAAAAGCTGGTACTAGGTCACACAGCAGGAAGAATAGTGGGAGCTCCAAGACAATCTGCCTGTCCACCAAGCCAGAGTGGAAAGGAGGAAGCTGGAGACAGATCACACTGGTTTTAGAGGTAACGGTTTTCTATTATGCAGTTTTTTCTCAGTTCTGAATGCTAGCACCCCCAATAGCAAATTGAAAAGCCAATCATGGGGCCTGTGAAATGGCTCAGAAATTAAAGGTGCCTACCACCAAGCCTGAACATCTGAGTTTGATACCTGGGACCCACATGGTAGAAGCAGAGGACAGACTCCCACAAGTTATCCTCTGACCACCGCATGCACAAACACAAAATAAATATAATAAAAACACTTTTAAGAAGAAAGAAAAATGAATCATCTCATTATCTGGCATGTTAGCCACCAGGCTTGGGGCTTCATTCTGACACATAAGACATGAGAAGGGCAGCCCCTAAGAGACATTTGTATAGCTTCTGCCAAGACAGGGTGGAACAACTCACTCATGCTCCTTCTAGTCCTAGCACCTGCCACACAAGTGCTCGCCCAACAAGAGCCTATCCCTGAGACATCTCCAGGTTTAGTAAGGGAGGCCAGCACTGTGGTGTTTGGTCCCCAAAAGTCCCGAGCTTCTAAAATGAAGACAAATTTAAGCCAGCAAGAAGTGTCTGTCCACATGGCACAGACAGAAAGGACCGCAGGTCAGTTTGGCCAACTGCTAGTGAGGTAACACCGGGTACCCAAAGGTCACATGCAGATAAAGGATACTTCTGAAGCAAGGAGCCATATCGTCTCTCTCCCTTCTCTCTGTCTCGGTAAACACCTAATGAAGGTCCATGGTGCTCTTCATCCTGAAGTCTTCCTTCTGGAGCATGGCAGAATCAAGCATTCTATAAGGCTCCACTATAAGCCTAATCCATCAGCATAGAGCCCTCCCTGAGCCTGGGGTCTAAAGGTCAGCCAACAACTAAACACACTTCACTTTTCATTGACAGTGGTTCCCCAGGCCACAGTAGCCAGCTCCAAGGCCTCTCAGGGAGCACCATGATCTGAAACTCCACTAGTTTGGAGGAGGGGTGCCTCACCACAAACCTCATTCCAAACACTCAAGAAAGAGGCCTCATGTCACCTTTTGTCAAGCAATTCCCTTCTGGCCCTTGGAAGGTCACAATTAGGCATCGGGATGCTCATGTTGCAAACAACTAAACACTCAAAAAGGCAAAAATAACTCCCAGGCGTCACAGAGCCAGAAAGCTGAATTTTGGCTCAAGTTCCGCCTCTTCACCCTCACCACGCTATCCTTTCGATCTTTTTGAGACCAGCCCTCTGAAGACCTGCAAGAGCATCTGCTGCCGGCAGTCAACAATCCAGATCCCTTCCGAGCATCGCACCAATGACTACCTAGAAGAGCATACATTTTCCAACAGATCAACCAATCAATGCCAACCACCCCGCAATCCAGCCATGCCCCTTCAACAGCAACAGGGGAGTTAAAAAAAAAAAAAATAGCACGCCGCACTTAGGGCTTGGCGTGGCACAGGGAAGCAGCCGGCCTATTAACCAGGGGAGCTGCGATCCTAGAGCCACTCCGCAAAGACACAGGCAGACCTGGCCCGCCCCTCCGAGATGCAGCCGTAGATGCCTCCGAGCACTCAGAGAAACCAAAGCCTGGACGGCGGAGAGGGCAGCTTCCCTTCTCCGGGGTGGGACCCACTCACCCTCCCGCAGCTCCTCACCTGCGGCCCCGCTTCCGGACCAGCCAACAATCCTCAGCCCCGCCCCCCGCCCCTACAGGGTTTCCCCAGCCCCGCCCACTGCACCTGTGCTTTTCCCCCCGGCTCTCCTCGCAGCCCCCTCCCACTGCAGATCCCCCCCGCCCCCCCCCCCCCCCGAATCTGAGCCCTTTCTCCGCCTCTAGCCCTCACACAGGTTCTAGTTCCCGCCCCTGGGACCTGGAGCCCGCCCAAGACCCCCGCGCCTAGCCCAGGCCTCCGACCCCGCCTCCCGCACCTGCGCCCTTTCCCGTCACCACCCCCCACACGCTGTCATTCGCGCCCCTGGGACCCGAGCCGGCCATAGCTCCGCCCCTCGAGCCCAGGCCACGCCCCGGCCCCTGAGGCCTGGGGTCCCGCCCCCCGCACCTGCAGCTACTCCAGCCCCGGGCCCCGCCCCACCCCGCCCCACCCCGCCCCGCCAGCGGCTCCTCTCACCGCCTCTCTCGCCGCTGCAGTCTCGGCTGGTCACCTTGACGCGAGCCACAGTGGCTGCCGCCGCTTCCTCATGGCCCTGCGAAAGGCCCAGCGGCAGCGGCGCCTTCGTTCCGAGGCTGGGGCCGGGCCAAGCCGGGTTGAGGACAGGCCGGGCGCAAGCTTGAAACGCGGGGCCGACGCGGGAGCCCAGCCGGTGCCCAGCCGCTGTAGGAACCGTCCGCTCCCCGGACCTGAACGGCAGGCGGATCAGCCAATCAGAGTGAAGCACCATACCGAGCTCCTCCAACCAGCTTGTCGCAGGGGCGGAGACACGCAAATGAACCGACTGGTAAAGCCAGTGCGCAGCCGCTGCAGCAGCGGTCCCCCACCGGCGTCGGCCTGGGCTTCAGCCTCCAGACGCTCAGGTTTGCAGGGATGTTCTGCCACCCTCTTCGGACTCAACCACCCGCCACGCCCACCCCCTGCATTGAAATAGCCGTGCGCTTATTCTGCACGCATCCTTCCAGGCCTCACCCAGTGTCCCACTTAAATTTCTACCTAGAGTTTCTCGTTTTCAACAACAAAAAAATGGCTTTGTGAGCAAGACATCACCACCTTAGCACCCATTCTTTACGACTCAGAGATAATCACAGTCCAGTAACACACTTTGAGGTTCTTGGGGCTGACCAATGTATTTCACAGCTAGTAAAAGTCAGGCCTGAGGAGGGTCTTGCCCAAGACCATACCAGATTCAAAGGGGGGTGGGCCTAAAAGCTGTCTCCCTGCACCCAGGCCTTTTATGCTAGGCCAGGTATGTGCAGTGAACAGAGGTTGAGTCATCGGCTAAAAGACACAGGTGGCGAGTTACAAATACCGTGAGAGACAGGGGCGGCTGTGAAGGCCTGAAGGTCGGGAACCACAGCAAAATTCTGTCATGCCTACCAGAGAAAGGAGGTAGGATGCTTCTTGGACATGTAGACAAGATCATCGCTTTGATATCTTTGTAATTCATGGTGCTGTAGCATTAGCCTATGGAAAGATTTCTATTGCACTATCCAAAAGAAGAGGGAGGAGGAAAACAATAGAGTCAGCAAAATTAAACCTTCTAGTGTATGGTGGTGGAATACAGCATCTCTGAGGCAAACGTCTACTATTTTGCATTAAGAACACAGTAATGATCAAAGAATAATCTCAACTGTTTCCCTTAAATAAACCAAAATGATGCATGATGTGATGGTTCTGGAAGTTGCTGAATCCAGAGATGTGCAGGGGGAGAACAGAGTGCGAAAACTTGAGGGAGATTAGGGAAGAGTGTTCGGTGGCCAAGCAAGAAGACCTAAGTTCAAGTGCTCAGAACACACATAAGAAGACGGGCATGGTTGTGCAGCTACCTGTAGGGTTGGGCGATGAAAGCAGGATACTTGCTGTGGTCTGCTGACTGCCAGGTTCAGTCTGAGACTCTGTCTCAAGGGAATAAGAGGGAGAGTGTAGAGCCAGACACTTGACATCCTCCTCTGGCCTCTGCAAGTTCATGAGTGTGCATCACCTACACACATACAAACCACACACAAAATAAAAACAACTGTAACTGTTTTTATAAATATTTATAAATTATTATAAAGCTTAGAGGGACCTGCTGCTTGAGTCCAAGCCCTGATTGTGTCAGCAGCTAGATGTGTGCACACATGCCAGCTATTTTTGCATGCTCAGATTCTTTATGGCGGATGAATGTTAGGGAGGCTGGAGAGCTGGCTCAGCAGTTAAGAGTGTGTACTGCTCTGGTAGAGGATCCAACTTCAGTTCTAGGCACTCATATCAGGTGTCTCACAACTACCTACCTATAACTCCAACTCCAGGTCAAGCTGTCACCTCTGGCCTCTACTTCCACAGGAACCTGCAATTGTATGTAAATATTCACACAGACACACACACACACACAATTTTAAAGTGCATTTTAAAAATATTTTTTAAAGAATATTTTGCAGGGCAGTGATGGCACACACCCCTAATCCCAGCAGTCGGGAGGCAGAGGCAGACGGATCTCTGTGAGTTCAAGGCCAGCCTGGTCTATAAAGTGAGTTCCAGGACAGCTAGGGCTACACAGAGAAACCCTGTCTCAAACAACAACAGCAAAAAATATCTTGTCAGGTACAAGTGGTGCATGCCTTTAATCCCAGAGCTCAGGAGGCAGAGGCAGGTAGATCTCTTGAGTTCAAGACCAGCCTGGTCTACAGAGTAAATCCCAGGACAGCCAAGGCTGTTACACAGAAAAACCCTGTCTTGAAAAACCAGAGGGGTGGGAGAATGAATATCTTTAAACTAGCAGCCTCTTCAGACAGGGAAATGGAATATGTAGAAGAGGGCTCGCACCCAAAAGGAGCTCAATAAGTCTTAGCTACTGTTATATGCATTATATGCACCTGTGTGACTTCGGGCATGTGCAGGCACTAAGCTCAGTTTTTGCAGTATACGTTTAATGGCATCTGGAGTTAATCTCAATGTCAAGTTGACAGATTTAGAATGGATCACAGAGAGAACTCTGGGCATGTCTGTGAAAGACTTTCTAGAGTGAGTTAACTGATAGGAAGACCCGTCCTAAATGTGGGCAACGCCACTCACTAGACTGGGCTCAGACCGAATGAAGCAGAGAAAGGACACTGAGAGAGCATTCACTGCTCTCTGCCTGACTGTGGATGTAAAATGACTAGCTGCCCCTTGTCCATGCCACCACACCTTCCCTGCCATGATGGACGGAACCCCACCTCTACCTCCTGCCTGGTCACCCCGCCTATACTTCTTGCCTGGCTATTGGCCTATCAGCATTTATTTAAAATACAAGTGACAGGGTGCAGACCATTGTCCCATAGCATACATAGATCTATTGGTTGAGATAGACAGATGATTAATAAATATGACTGATAGATGATTAGTAGATGTGATTGATAGATGATTAATAGATATAAATGATAAATAATAGATGTAACTGATAGATAATAGATATGACAGATGGATGATAGGTAGATAGATATGATAGATAACTAAATATTGACATATCACAGAACAGTGGTGGTGCACACCTTTAATCACAGCCCTTGGGAGACAGAGGCAGGTGGATCTCTGTGAGTTTGAAGCGAACCTGGTCTACAGAGTGAGTTTCAGGACAGTCAGGACTGTTTCACAGAGAAACCCTGCATTAAAAAAAGGGGAGGGGTCTTTTTTTTTTTACCAAAAAAAAAGGAACACAAAATAAAATAAAATTATCCAAGATGCTGCAGCTTGGCTAAAAAGTGTTGTGACCAAAGAGTCACAGGAACTCAATCTCTCACTGAGCAAGTGTTCATTGTTTTTATTTTAAAGCATTCACAAAAATAGGACATAACTACAGTAAATAATAATAAAGAGCTACGCTTCTAGGTTCATGCACATGCGTGTAGAGACTAGAGGCCAACATTGAGCATCTTCCTCAATCACTCTCTACCTTCCCTTCTGAGACAGGGTCTCTCATCCAACCAGGAACTCACCAGTTTGGCTAGACTGATTGACCAACAAACTCCAGAGTGAGGGGGCGAGAGAACGCAAAGGTCCTTCCCTCTTGTATTCGTGCTGAAGCCATTTTAGATTTAACTATAATTTTTTTTAATATTTATTTATTATACAATATTCTGTCTGTGTGTATGTCTGCAGGCCAGAAGAGGGCACCAGACCTCATTACAGATGGTTGTGAGCCACCTTGTGGTTGCTGGGAATTGAACTCAGGACCTTTAGAAGAGCAGGCAATGCTCTTAACCACTGAGCCATCTCTCCAGCCCAGTTTAACTATAATTTGATCTTGATGGGAAGCCCTGTGAAAAATCCCCCAACTCTATTCTAGGAACCCAAGGTCAAGATGCCCAGCCAACTTATCTTTGTTAAATTGCCTGGTTGTGTGATACCCCCACTTCATGCCCAGCTAACCTCCTATCTTAGCTTCTGCTAAACTGCTTACTTGCACAAAACCTGCCTCTAGAGCTTCTAAGCAAGATAACAGGAAGGGGATTTGCCTTTAAACACCCCTTGCTCTAAATGCTTGGTGCTACACTTGGGTCCTGAATGCCTGAGTGTAGTCTCAGCTGTCTGGAATAAAGACTTTCAATTGGCTACAGACTGTGTCTGAGTGATCTTCTCTGGTGGACTCCCTGTAACACCAGGGATCCACCTAACTCTGTTTTCTCAACATTGGGATTACAAGTGTACCATCATGTCTGGCATTTTATGTCAGGGATCTGAACTCAGGTCCTCATGTTTGTACAGTAAGCTGTCTCCCAAACCCTTACCATATAATGTTGTGTGTATGTGTGTTGGGGTTGAAACCTGGGCTTCATGAATGCTAAATGCCCTACTCTACTATTGAGTTCTACCTCAGCCCCTATAATATATGGATTTAGTCTAACTCCAAGTAAAACTATCTCTTTCATGCTGGGCAGTGGTGGCACATACCCTTAATCCCAGCACCCAGGAGGCAGAGGCAAGTGAATCTCTGTGAGTTCAAGGCCAGCCTGGTCTACAGAGCAAGTTCCAGGACAGCTAGAGCTGTTACACAGAGAAGCTCTGTCTCAGAAAAAAAAAATCTATTTCATATGCAGCACCAGGACCTTATTGTTGTGGAATATTGTTTTAACTGGGCAAAGATGTTCTACATTTGTTTATGCTGAAGAATATTACTTTAACTATGTGAAGTTATGTAAAGTACTTTGTTTATGCTGTATTTGTTTAACGATGGAAGGATGTGTGTTTAAGTAAAAATGTGTTGCATTTGTTTTACCTTGCCTGCCTAAGGCACCTGATTGTTCTAATAAAAGCTGAGTGGCCAATAGCCAGGCAGAAGAATAGGCGGGGCTAGAAGGCAGAGAGAATAAATAGGAGAAACCTAGGCTCGGAGTAGAATTAGAGAAGGAGGGAGAGAACAAGGAGAAAGAGAGGGACACACCAGGGAGCCAGCCAGCTGCCAGCCAGACACTGGAGGAAGCAGGAAAGTAAGATATACAGAAGTAAGAATGGAAAGAAAAAAAACAAACAAAAAACCCTCAGAGACAAAAGGTAGAAAGAGTTAGCCAAAAACAAGCCTAAGCTACACGGAGCATAATAAAAAGTCTTCGTGTCTAGTTGGGTATGGTGGTGCATGCCTTTATTCCCACCTCTTGGGAGGCAGAGGCAGGCAGATCTCTGTGAGTTCAAAGCCAGCCTGGTCTACAAAGCAAGT